CCCTTCTCTGAGCCTGCAGCTGTTTGGAGCCTGCCTCGTGCGAGCATGATCTGGGGGCAGCGAGAGACATGACAGACTTTACCTGCCACGTTTGGGGATCCCTTCTCCAAAGAGACCTTCCAGAACCTTCTCTCTCCCTTTTGCAGCTGGCAGGTGTCCTCACACTGTTGTCTGGTGTAAGCCTGGAGACGGTGGCTGTCTTGAGTGTCCACACTTGCGTGGCCCTGGCTGGGGCTTGTCCTGGGGCTGGAGGCGGGAAGCAGGCCCAGGGTAGGGCTTTTCTTCAGGGGCTGCCACCTGCTCTGGGTGGCCATCCCAGCTTCAGATTGTCCGGTGGTGGTGTTTGTGGTCATTTAAGGCCTGTGGTCACCATCTGTGGGACGGCTGCTTGGTGGGGCTTCTGGGCTAGGGCGGGAGCCCTGGGGGCAGCGCAGGGAGCAAGCCTGGTGGGCCAGGTGCTGAGCTGCCCCCTGCGGTCAAGACTAGAGGTAACAGCAACCCAGTGCCTCCAGGTGGGAGTGCTCGCGCCCTGCAGGTGCACCCAGTGGCCCTACGGCCAGCTGTGGGCCAGGCCACTGAACTGGGACGGCGAGAGGAGGGCTGGCGGGGGCTTCTGGGAGGAGGTGGTGTGGGGCTGAGACGGGCTGCGCCCTCAGGATGAGAGGATGGCCTTGGACTAGAGGTGGCACCAAGGCTGCTGACTTCCTCGTTCGGGGGATGGGAACTTCCAGGTCTCAGGGGAGGCCACTTTACCCAAAGACAATGGAGATGGCCACTGTGAAAACCGGTCACTGTGCAGCTCCCCCAGCCACCTGCTGGGCCTGAGCAGGCAGGGCTGGGCTGGGTGAGGGGAGGTGGCCCATCATTACCTGCAGAGCGGGGTCGGAGGGGCTGGTGGCGGGACTTGGCAAGGTGAGGCTGGGCCACCATCTAGCTCACACACCTCAGGGCTGCTCTCTGCACATTCTCTAGAGGCAGACTCAGAGGTGACAAAGACCCTAAACTTCTGTTCAGCAAATTATTTGAACACATCATTCCTTGGAGTCCTGGTCGGCTCTCCCTCTCTCCTGACTCTCTCACCCCCTCCCCCCCGCCGGGCTCATGGGCCTCTAATCCCTGGAAGACTCTAATAGGCATATTGCAGGTGAGGAACCAGGGCTCAGAGCAGCTGTGTGACTCCCCAGAGCCACACAGCCGAGGGGCTGGAGCCCAGCGTCCAACCCACGTTTCTGCGTGACCCAGGAAGAGAGCAGGGGTCACTGCTTGCCGAGGGAGCTTGGGGTCTGCAGCTGCCAAGTGGAAATAGTAATCTCTCCCCGGGGGCTGGCGTGACGTGCGAAGGAGGCGGTGGTTATGAAATGACATATGAATCATGAGTCGCCTGCAGACGTTAGTGTCTGTTACTGTGGTAACCACCCAGCTTCTGTGGCCCTCACTCACTCTGGGTAGCAAGGTTACACTGGCATTTAAATTTAATAGCACTGTTATTTTCCACCATAAAATAACATACATTATTCATATGTCCAAACGCATCAAATTACATAGATTAAATGTGTGCAGGTTTTGCATTTTGATTACACCCAATAAACCTTTTTTTTWAAAAAATAATGTATCTTCATTACAAAAAAAAMCCCCTGGAAAACAGAAAAGTAGAAAGAGGAGAAAAAATTATTTAATTTCAGCCACACAGAGGAAGCTCTGTTGGCGTTTTGGGAGGTTTTCTTCCTGCCGTCGCTCGGCTGTTTGCTTATCTAACCTGGCTGTGATCACTGGTCTACATAAYCAAAGACATTTTATATACAATTTTACATCTTGTTCTTTGCCCTTGGGGGGGGGGGTGTTAATATGAAACAGTGAGAACCAGCCCACATCTGGGAGCCTGGCGGGCTGGGCTGAGGCTGGGCTCCATGGCCGCCAACAGCTCTCTGAAGGACAGGATCAGGGGCCAGGACATTCTGCACTGTGCTCAAGGGACGGGTGCGTGTTTCCTCTGGGCCTTGTTTTAAGTGTTAACAGAACGTCGTGCGTCTGTCTTCACGACTGCCTTCTGGCTTCTCAGCCCGCTTTTCTCTTTCTTCTGTCACCATCAAAGCTGGCATTGGTGGCTCAGAGGGCAGTGCCAGCCGGGAGCTGCTTCCCAGAGGTCTACATAGAATGACACCTTAGACTGACCCACCACATGCCACACCGAGTTTCCAAGTGCCATTGCCAATCAAGGAGCCCAAGCTGCTGCCCGTGCGGCCTTGCGCTCAGGCAGACAGACAGACAGCCCGCAGACAGGACAGCACCGTAGGAGAAGCCAGTCTGGGCTCAGGGGGTTGGGCTACTCCAGAGGGGCTCTGGGATACAGATGGCGATTTCAGCAAAGGTGGTCCAAGCTGGGCCCTCAAGAAGCAGCAGATGAGCAGAATTGAAAGACAGGGAAGGAGCTCTGCTGACACTCAGGGCCACCACCAGCAGGCCCGAGAGCTGTACTTTGGAGATGGAGCCCAGAGTCAGGAGAGGGATAACTGAGATGGAGTAGTGGCCGGGGTTGGGGCGGGTGTCGTCATCTGTGGTTGAGCTAAACCCCCAAACCGCTGCATATAAAGTAAATATGTAGCCAGATGCAGGACCGTGACTATGATCCCAGTAACTTGGAGGCTGAGGCGGGAGGATCACAAGTTCAAGACCAACCTCAGCAACTTAGGGAGACCCTCAGCAACTTAGACCCTGTCTCAAAAAAAAAAAAAAAAATTGAAAGGACTGAGGATGCGGCTCAGTAGTAGAGCACCCCTGGGTTCAATCCCCAGTACCCCAAATAAATAAGTAAAGCCATTCATCTCACATCTATAGAGGCCAACATCAGGTCTCATCTGACCAGAGACTGGCTTGTACCTCCTTCCTCTGGGATGGGTGGGCTTCTGGGCAGGCCCTTCTCTTGRCAAAGGCAGAGGTGCAGGGTGGCAACTCTAGTGCCCAAGCCCTTTCCAGTGTCTGCTGATGTCCTGGAGCCCCAAGCAAATCACAGCTACACACAGTCAGGGGCAGAGAGCAGGTTGCCTGGCCAGTGGGGGCACTGCCAGGTTCCATGGGGGCACGGGAGAGACAGGCTTGGCTTCCTGATGTGTTCCTCGTCGGGGGCTTTCAGCCCTCCTACCCCTAACCCTACCCCTAGCCCTAACCCTACCCCTACCCCTACCCCTAGCCCTACCCCTAGCCCTACCCCTACTCCTGTTCCTAGCCCTACCCCTACTCCTAACCCTACCCCTTGTGTTACTCTGAGACGGGGCCACAGGAGGCCTTTGAGCAGGGGCATGAGGTGGCAGCCTGCCTCTCACTGCTCCATGGAAGCTGGCTTGTAGCGGGTGACGGCAGGGAGGTGATGGTCAGGAGGTGTGTGGCATCAGGTGGAGGCGGAAGCGGCTGGCATCTGGCTGTGTTGCCCTGGCAGCAGGGTAATGTTGCGTCAGGAAGAGATGGAGTTGGTGACTTCAAGGCTGGGGGGAGTTAGCGTCACTGGTGCTGCCGTCCCTGAGAGCAGGAAGYGGCAGAGGGGGCGGTGTGGGAGGGTCCATGGTCAGGCTCTGAGCAGACACGCTGTGTCCCGGGAATTGACCCCTGGCTGCTGTCAGGAGAGGGAACCTGGGGCCGGGCAGCCTGCTGGCATCCAGCCTGGGGGGGGGGGGGGCTTTCCTGGGACTTGTTTGAAAGTAGGTCCAGATGGCTAAGGTCAGGTCAGGGGTCTCGGTGCCTGGAGCCCAGGTCAGGAACGGAGAGCTGGCAGAGCCACTGTGCATGGGAGGACTGCTCTCTGCTTGGGCATGTGGGGAGACTGTTCTGGAACAGTCTGTTTTTCAAACATACTTGAAATGTGGGTTTCATAGGCTCACCTCCCCTCGTCAGGGGTCGGGCGTGAGTGGAATCAACATGTTGGTGGCAGACCCGGGGGGGGAGCAGTAGTGCAGGCCAGCTCTCCTGGGAGGGAAGTGTCCTTCTGCCAGGCCACGGTCRTCCTCCCCCAGCTTTCCCCGGCCCCCAGGCTGGCCCCTGGAACATCCGGGCTGCTCATCTCTGACTGGACCCTGAGAATGCTGGGGACGGCAGGGAGGCCTTGTACTTCCCAGGTGCCAACTGTGGGACCTGGGGGTGGGGCTGTCAGTTCTCTTCAAATGCCTGCCGGTGCAGCCGCGCCAGCCCTGGGGGCCGAAGGCTCCAGGTAGTGGGCGACTCTGGGTGCCCCGTAAGGAAGGTCCCCAGGATCCCTGAGGGAACATGGGTGGGAAGAAGAGCCGGAGGAGCAGCGGCCAGGACAAGCAGAGCTGGGCTCAGCCTTCCGGGCACAGACAGGAGGACCCCAGAAGCCTGCCTGGGGCTGGGCTCTGACGGGAGGGAGATCCACCCAACCCTGAATGGGTGCCGGTCATCGCAGGCCCCGGCAGGCGAGCCTCTTGTCTGCCCACGGAGATGCTGGGAAGGGCTGGCCGGGCCCAGGTGGCTGGAGTCCAGGGGCCGGGGGTTCAAGACAGGAGGGGGGCACATCTAGGTGCCTTTAGATGCCACCTCCAGTCTCCACTGAAGTTGCCCAGGTTCTAGGAGTTTGCATGGCCACGTGGTCCCCAGTCCCGCCCACACCCCATCCTCTCAGGGTGGCTTCCTGAAGGCCTGCATTCTCTAAGGGCGTCCAGTGGAGACCTGTGCAGGCCACTGTCTTGGCCCATGCTGACCTCAAGTCTAGAACGTGACCACCAGCTGTCACCCAGCCCTGAGACTGAGCTCAAGGCTCAGTGAGTGTCCCACATGCAGGGGGACACCGCTCAGCACAGGAGGAAACCTGCAAACTAGAAGGGAGGGAAGAAGCAAGAGGGGCACACACCCCAAACAGGGCTCCGAAGTCCGGGGAGGCCGGGAGGGGCCCTGCGCATGCTCCCCCACGTCTGGCTCCCTAAGGTCCTCTGGGCGCTAGTCCAGCGCCTGAACCCCGTTCTAACGAGTGCGCCYTCCTGCTTCTCTTCCCCCAGCCGATATCATCTCCACCGTCGAGTTCAACCACACTGGGGAGCTGCTGGCCACAGGCGACAAGGGCGGCCGGGTTGTCATCTTCCAGAGGGAACCRGAGGTGTGTGGGTGGGTGGGGCCAACAGGGGGCGGGGCCTGGTAGAGGCTGACCAGTGGGCGGGGCCTGACCGGGTGGGGTCTGGAGGTCCAGGGTCCGGGGCGGAGGGAAAGATGGGGATGCGAACGGGCAGGTGGGATGTGGACCACTTCGCCTTTGGCTGGGCAGTGTGTTGACTGCACCCAGTGAGCTGTGCCCCTGTCCTAGACCCCAGAAAAACAGCTGAAGCCTCCGGTTAGACCTTGCTCTGCCTGGGTGACCTGAGACCCTGGGCCAGAGAGGACAGGGAGGAGGATCCTCTCCCTTCCTGCCCTGCCCCTGCCTCGTGGGGTTTGTTGTCAGCAGAATTCTGGATGAAACAGGAGGCCTGGGACACCTGCCTTGGGGGTCACTTCTGAAACGCTTGGTAAAGGCCCCCCATTCACTGAGCACCTACTATGTGCAAACGCCTGGCTGAGTCTTGGGGCACTCTCCTCTTTGACTCTATTGGTCCCCTCCGAGGGCAAGGATAAGACCCATTGTACAGATGAGCAAGCAGGCCAGTGACCAGCTGGTGCACAGCAGGCCAGCCATGGAGATGTGAGCTGGCAGGGGAGGGAGGATACCCTGAAGCCAGGAACGGGGAGRGGCAGAGAGCTGCCCGCATGCCCTCCTGAGCAAGGTCCAAGCTGGCCTCCTTGTCCGCCCCACCCTCCCCTCAGCTTGCTGGTGTAGCTCGGCGCTCCCTTCCCCCAGGCACCAAATGGGGACAGATGCATCTTGGGCCTGAAAAAGCTCACCAGGGACACAGACTAGTCCAGGGCCAGCATCCTTGACCCAGTGCATCACTGGCCGGCCCATATGGATTTCACAAGGTAGAMCAGAGTGTCCCCCTTGGGGCTAGTGAAGCCTTCCTCTTGCCAAACTGCGGAGGGAAACCAAATTGGCAGATGTGAGCTGCTCCGTTTTGGATTCTCTTCATTTTAATGTCACTGATCTTTTTGTCATAACCAGTGCTCCCGGGAGATGAGGAGAACTGGAGGCACTTATTGCAAAGAACTTTAAAGGTTTTAAAAAGACACTTTTAAAAAATGAACAGAAATACCCAAAGTTGTGGCTTGGCAACTATCTTCATCTGTCCCTGGTTGCAGTTTTATGTCATGTAAACTTGATTGTCTACTGGGAAACGGCCTCTGGTGCACGTGGCAGTCCTGCCCCCTCTTTGGGGAACGCCACCAGGAGCCTCTTCACTGTGGTTTAAGTTCTGCTGCCTGAACCAGAACAGGAGCCACCAAGGTGGGTCAGGGACGAAATTCTGCTCCAGGCCCAACACTGCAGGATGTCCTACCCCAGTGTGAAATCTGGGGTAGGACACTACCKCGGCCACTTCCCTGCTCTTCCCTCCCTTCTAGTTTCCCTCAAATCAGGCCCCCCCTGGACACACAGACACTAGGAACAGGTTGGCACCTGAGGCCAGAGGGTGGTCATTGCCATGTGACCTCAGTGGAGTGAGTGGCGGCCCCTACTGGACACAAAGCTTTGGAAGTTCCACTTACCTGAGTCTCCACTTGCTGCTCAGTAAGATGGGAGCTGTCCTGGAACTCCCATTCCCACAAAGGAAGCCTGGAGAATATGAGGGACAGCCCGAGAAGCCCTTAGCTCAGCGTCCGGCACATAGTAAGTGCTCAGTTAAATGTGAACTGGTCTGGATTGAACAGGAGGTGGGGTGTGGCCTCAGCCACACAGAAAGTTATTAGCCCTTTAAAATGTAGTTTCCGTTGGCCCTTGAATTGGACCAACTGGTGCTCCTTGGCAGCCAATTTCAAGGCAATGTCTGACCACCCAGCCCCTTCCCTGTGTCCACTTCCCCGGCGCTGGCCAGTCCTGCAGCTCAGCTCTGTCCTTGGGGTCTCCTTGCAGAGTAAAAATGCTCCCCACAGCCAGGGTGAGTATGATGTCTACAGCACTTTCCAGAGCCACGAGCCAGAGTTCGACTATCTCAAGAGCTTGGAGATAGAGGAGAAGATCAACAAGATCAAGTGGCTCCCGCAGCAGAACGCTGCGCACTCGCTGCTGTCCACCAACGGTGAGGCGCCTGGCCCTGTCCTCAAACGCTATCTTGCTTTACTGTACTGTGGGCATTCTCCTGGATCTGTGCGAGAGCTCAGCATAATATTTTGAGCAGCATGAAATCCCCCCTCTTGCCCAGGCCACAGCCTCCTTGGCTGGACCAGCTTGGCTGGACCCGGGTTGTAAATAGTCACGAGCACTTGTCTGTGGGGTGGAGGGGGCTTGATGTTTCAGAAGAGGGTCCAGGTCAGGACACCCAGCGGCAGCTGACACAGGGTGGACCCTCCAGCCCGGCCGCCAGCCCACCCCAGAACTGCTGTGCCGCAGGTGTACAGTGGCAGTCAGAGCAGACTGGCTTAGGAGCCTCTGTCGTTCTGCCTCAGGAGGAGGACCCCTGCCCCTGCTGCAGGTGCCACCAGTGCCTGCTGGGCCACGTTCACTCTGGGGCAGCAGCAGGGCCCTCGTGCCTCAGCGGCTGGGGGCTTCCGCACAGCAGGGTGCTACTCAGGAAGAGCCCTCTCTCCCCGCCAGTGAGGGCCTTTGAAGGGGGACGGAGCGRTGGTCCTGCCTTGGAAACGAGTGGAGAGGTAGATAAGGAGGCTCGATAGGGTCACGCCCTTGGCCCAGCTGTGCCACTTTTGGGACCAGTCACGAGGAGAGAAGAGAGTATGGACAAGCGCCCACATGCAGGTTCCCCGCGTCAGTGCAGGTGAACCGCAGGACCCCCGACCGCGGACAGGGTGACGAGAGGTGCCTTCAGCRCCACGTACGGAGCTGGCTGTCCTGGAGATTCTGCCCCTGTCCTGGTGGCTAATTCTGTGTCTCGTTTTCCTTTGTTCTGTTCCTAAAGATAAAACTATCAAATTATGGAAGATTACCGAACGAGATAAGAGGCCCGAGGGCTACAACCTGAAGGACGAAGAAGGGAAGCTTAAGGATCTGTCCACGGTGACGTCGCTGCAGGTGAGTGGCCTCCACAGGTGGTCCCGGGAAGGGGAGCTTCCTCTTTTAAGCCATGAGAATTTTTGGACTTGAAAGGCCTCTGAGGTTTGAGCCAGGGCCAGGGTCACATCCCGGACTGCTTCCTTGTTGGGTGGCCATGGCCAGCTCCCTGCCCCATGCCTCAGTTCCTCACCAGGAGAGGACCCTCATCCCGGAGGTCAGGTTTGCATGAGGTGTCGGACGTGGGTCTCCAGAGTGCTTTTCATCTGGGACGGAGGAGGCGGAGCCCCCAGAGCTTGCCTTGGGAGGTGGGGGGCACTGCCACCCTGGAGGGCCAGGATTCACGCCGAGGCACTGAGCTGGAGGAAGCAGAGCAGAGGACCTGTCAGCTGAGCCCTGCCCCCAAGCCTCCGCCACGGCGCACAGGGAAGCTGGGGTGAGCCGAGCCTCAGCACTTATAAGGCCCAGCTGGCCAGGCGGCACTTGTCACCAAGGAGGCCAGGCAGAGCCACTCCAAGGCACAGGCTGGTCCAGCATGATTGAAAGGCAAAAGGTCTCCTCTTCTCAGCAGGAAGTTAGTGAGGCATGGAAGGCATGAGCCACAGGAGGGTTCSCACCCCACCTCTGCCACTGCCTGGCCAAGTGACCTGGGACAAGGCACCGAGCCTGCCCCAGCTTCGGAGTCCTCATCTGCAGCAAGAACAAACGCTTCAGTAGTGAGCGTGTCTCCCAAGCACTGTCACCACGGGGACCACAGGGCTGTCACAAGTGCTCACTCAGCCCTCACCAGATCCTTTAGGCTGGCTCTGTTCCCACGGTCCCATCTCACAGACGAGCAGGCGGACAGCCGGGACCCAAGCCTGGAAGGCTGTCCAGAGCCAGCCTCCTGGTCCTCCACGAAGCAGGAGCGAGGTCCCTGCTCCCAGCAGAGCCGTGGGGTGGTTAGCAGTGTCATGCTGACAAGACTAACCGTCCCTTTCCTCCTGAAGCAGGGCAGGGGGAGTGGAGCCCCCTTGTCTGTCCCTGGCTTCCAGAACCGTCCACTGATGAAATCGATGCTCACACAGCGGATTCACTTCTATCCATCCCACACACCTCCGTCCTCTGCTCTGCTCTGGGCACTGGGAAGCCTCAGTAAATGCAGGCCTTGGGTCAAGTGCTGCCCAGAGGAGTGACCTGAGATGCTGGTGAATGAGCAGGGCGAGCCCCGGGGGGCCCAGCAGCTCCCGTGGCCTGGAATCCCATCTCCCTTGGTTCCTCGGCGACTCAGGGCTGTCGCTCCCATCCAGAAGCCTCCTAATGTGAGKCCTGGTGTTGGGGCCCCCGCAGGCTCCCAGACACACTCACCTACAGCTGGTTGGTGGCTGCRGCTACTTCCCTGCTCTGTGCCTCGGTTTCCTCACCAGCAAAGCAGACCTGGTAGGTGGAGGGCCTGCYGCCCGGCCTTCTGCACCCCGTCCTGGAGAGTCTTAGCAGGTGCTCGCACGCCCCGAACCGGGGGTCTGGAGAGACAGAGAGCGGTCATCGGGTTGTTCAGACACGCGGGCCTCTGTGACTGGCACATTGCACAGAGATCCTGAGGAAGCTGGGAGGCAGTTACCTGGTGTCCACTATGGGGGATGACGCCCCCTGCCCAGAAAAGCTTCTGGGTATCGTCCAGAAGGAAGCAGGAGGGTCGCGTCTCACTGGCCTGGCGTCCAGGCAGGACAGTGGCCCCGGATCATAGCCTTGGAGATGGGACTGAACGGAGCTGCATCCTGGCCTTTCCCTCGACTTGCCTCTTCTTTACCTCCCCCTTCCCGTGACCCTGAGCCAATCAGCCCCGAAGCTTCCTGCCACCTGTGAATCCTGTTGGGGGAGCCAATGTGCTGGGCAGGTCCTGAGCCCCAAAGCAAGTCCCAGCTAAGACTCACTCCCTGCCCCCAAAGTTTTCCCAGACGTAGAGTCACTGCCATGAGGACCCTGACAGTGACATATAGGCTGGGAGAGCCTTTACCCTCACACCGGATGCTCACGCAGCCCCTGGACGTGGGAGCACTGAGCGGGGACTGCAAAGCCACATGTGCATCAAAGGAGCCCGGTGCTTGTCACTCACTCCAATATCCTCTGTCCCTTTCCACCCCAGGGTCCCTGGGAGCTCAGGAACATAGCCTATCATTCACTCATTCATTTACCCACCCACCCACTCACTCACTCCCCAGAGGGCCTCTTGTGCTGGGCCTGGACCCAGCACCAGACACAAACAAGAGAAGGTCACATCACACCCTGACTGTTCCCAATTCCCCGGGGAAAGAGGAAAGCAGACAACAACCTCAAGCTGCCCTAGGCTATGGGAACTCCAGTGGGCCTGGGCAGCCTGAGCAGGGTGGGGTCAGTTTCCCTTTACCAGCCTAGGCCAGGCCTTGGGATAGCTCATAGCTGACTGGCCAGCCACCTTTGGAGACCTCATAGTTGAACAGAGCTGCACCCAAGATGCACTGCAGTGCCCCCCGCTGTGGGCAGTGAGCTGGGGACATGAGGGACAGGGACATCCCTGGAGGGCAGGCTCAGCCTCAGAAGTGTGACTCTGGTCTTGCGGGCAGAAGCAGGGTTGACTAGGAGTCCAAAGCGGCTGAGCCTTCCAGGCACAAGGCASAGACTGAGGCCAGGGCCACTGTAGGGACTCTGACGTGGAGATGGGTTTGCTGTGAGGAGGTCCAGTGTGCAGGCACCTTGATGGTGCGCGGCTATCCTGCAGCCTCTTCCATCCCCCAAGGCCTGGGTCCTCACTGCCAGGCCAGAAGGCACACCCCTGCTTAACCACCTGCCCAGGAGCACATGCATCACTTTGCTGACGTCTCATTGGTCAGGATCAGTCACGTGACCACACTTGGTTGCAAAGGCAGCTGGGAAATGTAGTCCCCTGGTGAGCAGAAACTTCCCAGTGATGTTATTGCAGAAAGTAGAGCAGTTTGGTGGACAGTGGCCTGGTCTGCCATGCTATCTTCCATGTCATTTTAGAGATGGGAAAGTCGGGTGCAGAGGGGTTTTTCAGCTACTTAGACACAGTGCATTCAGGCCAGGGCTCAGGACACATCCCAGGAGCCTATGTAAAGGAGGAAGCCTCTCCTGCAGGGCTGGGCAGGTGAGAGACCTTGCCATCTGTCACTGCTCATTTCAGACAGTGCAGCATCAGGATTATGGCCCCTCGAGTGCTGTGGCCTCTTGTTAAGATCGTGTGCCCTGCCATGCCACCCTCACCTGCTCCCTGCTGCCCCTCTGATCTCCGTCCTGCCCTGCAGGTGCCTGTGCTGAAGCCCATGGACCTGATGGTGGAGGTGAGCCCGCGCAGGATCTTCGCCAATGGCCACACCTACCACATCAACTCCATCTCTGTCAACAGCGACTGTGAGACGTACATGTCCGCGGACGACCTGCGCATCAACCTCTGGCACCTGGCCATCACCGACAGGAGCTTCAGTATCCTTGCCAAGGGCCCCATGGGGGTGGTTTCAGGGGTGCTGGCTTGGCCACAGGCAGGCTTGGGGGCCTTCGCTTTGCCTAACTTCTTCATGGAAGCACCTCTGATTCAGTGTGCATGAGCCCAGAATGAGCCCAGGTCGACTCAATGAAAGCCTTAAAGTCATGGCCACTGAGGGTCACATCTGACCTCTCCCCTCCCCTAGAGTGGCCAGCATCCCATCCTCCTGGGGCCTCTCTGGTACAGCAAAGAGGGCAAAGGGCCCAGGATTCGTCTGTCCTGGAGGAGGACGCCTGCCCTCCTGGAAGCTCCTGCAGACTAGCTGTATCCATGTGTGATGGGCAGAACTGAGGGCCTTTCCAGGGCTTAGAGGGACAACCCGGGAGCAGAAGCCCAGTTGGAGTGGGGGCCAGGAGAACCTCTGCTCAGTGGTCCTGTGTCAGAGCAGGTGAAGGTCAAGAGTGATGACTGGCTCACACTGCCTGGTAAGGGAAGGACCCTTGATCCATGAATGTCAGTCTGGGGAGGGGTGAGGTTTGGCCCTGGGGGTGGTGGTGGACAGGGCAGGCGGCTGCTGGGATGTCACTGTGCTACAGACCATTCGTGATGCTGCCCCAGTGAGGTGCTACCCAGGGGCTCTGGCCTCCCTCGCTACATGGATTTTCACTCAGGTCATCCTCACGGCAGCCCCGGGAGGCAGGCATGGTCACCAGCATGGTCACCAGCCCCTTTCCAGATGAGAGAACTGAGTCACAGAGCCCAGGTTCACTTGCTCTAAGCCGACAGYAGACTCAGGCCCTGCAGCCCAGATTCTTCACCCAGCCTCCACTCTGACTGCCCTCTGTGGGAGTGGCCACCTGGGGGTGATGGGAGAGGGCACCCTGGGAACTTCGTGCAACTGAGTCTCCAAGTGCCTGTCAGTGCTGGTCCCCAGGGTCCAGACGGCTGAGCTCCCACAGGACTGTGAGCCTGGCCGGACAGTGTTCCTCCAGCAGACACCAGGACTGGCCAGCGGGGAGAGGGGGAGCAGGAGGGAGCAGGCTGGGGGTTAGAGGAAGGACAGAGGGTGACAATGGCTTCCGGGCAGGGAGACTCGTCCAGCAGGAAGAGAATTGGGAGCAGCTCTAAGCAAAGCCTCTGAGGGGCCCTGGGCCCAGCAGGAGGCTTGGCCACACGTGGGGGCTGTGTGAGCCTCAAGCCCCTCTGTGGTCCCTCCTCACAGGACCACAACATACAGTCTGTGGGCCCCTCAGGCTGGGCCCAGCACACAGTCAGCTCCATGGTATTGGGAGCATCTGCCTCCTTGCTCCCGCTCTCCAGCATGGAGGGTGGAGGTGGGGGTGGGTGGTCGGGAGGACTCCAGAAAGTACTGGGCCTGGGGCATTAGGAGGGGTGAAAGCTCAGATCTGGCTGGATGGAGGGTTGGGCTGCCCAGATGCTCCACCCAGGCTAAATCCCAGCAGGCCTGCCGTGCCTGGTGCTCACAGCATTGGTTGGTGGGACTTGCTGTTGCCGGGTCAGGACGCCTCACTCCAGCTGGTGTGAGCACGGCCTTTACTGACCAATGTAACCACAAAGAGCTTCCACACTGGTGGATTTGGGGCTCCAGYGGTGTTAGGGGGCGGCTCTCTGCTCATTGCCTCTGGTCTCAGGCTCCATGTGAGTGCCAGAGTGAAAGTCCAGGAGAAAAGAGACCAGCTCTCAAACTCTCTCAGGAGCACCTTAGATGGCACCCTATTGGTTCTGATTGGGCCTGGCTCTCTCTGAACCAATCACTGTTGAGGGAGGGTAAATGCCATGCTCTGATTGGCCAGACTAGACTCACATGGCCCCCTGGTGCTGGAGGCCTCCATCTCTGCCCAGCCCAGTGTCTAGGTGTGGGAGGGGTCAGTCCTGGAAGACCAGGAACCGCTGCCCACTGCCAAATCTGGAACTACTACTGACTGACGTCCCAGTGTAACTGACCAAACGATGCCATGCACATGTCTATGAGGCAGGATGGATTGCACTCTCATGTATAACTATAAAGTGCCCATTAAAATAATGAATTAATAGAAGGAAGGGCTCGAGGTGAAGGAGGAGGGGAGGGAAACAGGAGGTACCAGTTGTTGAAGTGGAGCATTCATGGATATGTCATGAAGTTGTATGCATTCGTGGATATGTCAAAATGAACCCCACAATTATTTAAAAAAAAAAACCACTATAATGGACTGGTAAAAACATTTTTTAAAAGAAAAAGAAAAGATGCTAAGGAGAATTGAATACAGACACTCCAGGTTTGCTAATGGGGTTGGTGAGACTCAAAGGGCTTCCTGGCAGGGGTCCACAGATCACAGAGAGCCCCCTCCACCACTGGGTGCTCATGGCAGAGCTGAGGACAGTGGCAATGTTACCACCAGCCCATTCACAGGTGAGGACATAGCTGCAGGGGAGCCTGGGCTGGCTCAAGTCCCCAGCTCGCAGGGCTGGATGGAGGGTTGGGCTGCCCAGATGCTCCACCCAGGCTAAATCCCAGCAGGCCTGCCGTGCCTGGTGCTCACAGCATTGGTTGGTGGGACTTGCTGTTGCCGGGTCCAGTGCTGTCTGCCTTGCCCTGAGCTGCCCACTGCAGACCAGGACAGTGGCAGCCACCCTCCTTGAACCCCGACTTCCTCCTGGCGTGGGCCTCTGGGGGATGGGCTTATCCCCCAGGTGCAGTGCAGCGTTGGTGATGCCCTTGCTCCCGGAGGCTCTGCAGCCCCGGCGGGATTGGGCTGCGCTGCTCCCCTCTGCTTTTGGCTTCTCGGGGCTCTCAGGCTGCCCTGTCCAGGCCCCTGCTAGGCCCTGGGACCCCGGGAGGAGTGGAGGGGTGCAGCCCTTCCCTGGAGGGCCTGCGGGCTCAGGGGAGGAGTGAAAGGGTCTTCCTTGCTGGAACCTGGGTCTGCACAGCGGCCGTGGCCACAAGGAGGAGGCAGGAGAGTGACTGTGGGGAGCTCCCTGGGCTCCAGGCAGCGGAGTGCCGGCGGGTGAGGGGCTTGACGGGGAGCAGGGCAGAGGTGGCCCCACACAATTGGGCAGGCCGGCCAGGCTGTGAGGCGTGCCTCTCCTGACCGGCGTCACTCGCAGGCCCCTTGGGTACCTGCCGTGTCTGCAGCCGCCTGTTCATTTACTCTTCCCACTTTTTTCTAAGTTTTATTAATTTTCTTTTAAGTCAGTTTTCTTTAGTTTTGCCTAAATAACTATTTTTTTGAGAGGAAATTAGCTTCATGTTGTAAATGAAAATAAAATATTCGTGGTACGTCGCATGCCGTAAATAGGAAGGACATGGGTCAGTGCTGTGAAGCCATTCATAACATCTGCACTTGAAACAACAGAGACGGAGCCGTCCTCGCCCTACCTGGGAGAGCTCTGTCTGCACTCAGGGGGCCAGCTGCGGCCACCTGTGCCTGTCGAGTCCTACAGTGTGACCAGGAAACTGAGGAGCCACGTTGTAAGTTCAGTTCAGCTTTAATAATTCCCAACTTCAGCTAAACACCCACAGGAGCTGTGGGCCGCGGGGCTGCACCGCGCTCCATAAATGTCGGGCCTGTGGCTGGTTCTCCTGGTGGAAGGAGAGAGGCAGTGCTGGAGTGGCAGAGACAGAGAGCAGGGACCAGAAGTCCCCCTCCCCATCATGGGGTCCCAAACCCTGCCCCGGGATGCTGGTGTCAGAATGGCCGAGTATACAGTGGCCCTGGTATACAGTGGCGTGGTGTTTGCATATCGCCTCTGCACATCTTGCTGTGTGCTTCACACCGTCTCTAGGCCTCTTGCACTGACAGTGCTGTGGAAAGAGTTGTGACTCTGTGTCATGCAGGGAACAATGACCGGGAAAAATAACCCACGTGTTCAGTGGATGCAACTTTCTTTTGAGTATTTTCCGCGGCACATGGTTGAGTCTGTGGATTCAGAGCCTGGGGACGTGCAGTGTGACGGCACGTGAACCTGTGACATGCAGCCACTGTCTGCCTCCACGGCTTCAGGTCTGAGAAGCTGTGGGCACACTGGAAGCTGGGCAGCATCACCAGCCAGCTTTGTAGGGGCCGTGAGGCTGTGTGTGGTGGTGGGTGGGATTGCACACACAGCCTGGGAGCCAAGGAGATGCAGGGGAGAGGGGACATCTGGGCGTGGCCATAGGCAGGTGAGGTTCCCAGACAGTAAGAATGTAGGCTTCACAGGTTTGGGACCCAAGTGGCCCCAGGACATTAGAATGGTTAGTTGTGAGAGGGTTGATCCTCTGCAGAGCTGTGGCGTTCTCCTGGGCACTGCAGTCAGCCTGGGCTCCTGCCACACTGCGAGCACACAGATGGTGCTCTCTGCATGCTGCAGGGAATGCCACCTACCAGCAGGTATTTATTGAGCACCTCGGTGTGCCAGGAACCGTGCTTGATGCTGGGGGTGGAGAGGATTCTGCCCTCCAGGAGTGGACGGGTGATGGACTATTAGTGAGGTGTCCAGTGTGGGAGCTGGTGACCGATGTGCCCAGCTGGCACAGCAGTGAGCACCTTCCCAGCCATGCTGTCTGCTGGCTGTGGGTGCCGGGGAGGGGCATAGTGAGTCAGTTGTGGTTTTGCCAGGGAAAGGGCAGCCCTGGAGCTGGTGGGGTGCAGGGGAAGAAGGATGATTAGTGGCTGGAACCTGAGCCAGGCCAGGGATCATGTAGTTGGATTACTGGTCCCCTGGGATCCCGGGGACCTCCCTGGCTGCATATTCTGCCATATAGCTCAGCAAAACCTGGTGTAGCCTCTAACTTTGTGAAAATTGTCAGCTGATGGAAATACAGGTGCTCTGGCTCTTAGCAACAGAGGAGGTGAAAACACTGACTGCCGGGCTCCAGGCAGCCTGGCAGGCAGAATGCGGGTGTGTGGACAGTGCGGTCTGCAGAGACACGTGGGGGCCTCCCCTGGCCAGAGTCCTCCTCCAGGCAACCACAGTTTCCTTTCCACGGCCTGCTGGTGCTTGGCCATGGAGTGACGGGCAC